CACCTGCATCACCGAATCCACAACGGCCTGCCCGACGAGACGCAACTCAACAATGGCCAGGTCTTCAATCTGATGAGCCTGGGTTTGTTGGGCGTGCCACAGCTGGGTGATTACTTCAACGAGCTGCAGAACAAGCTGCAAGATCTGAAATTCGATATGGGCGACTATGTCTGCATGAAATTCCTAATCCTGTTGAATCCAAGTAAGGCCGTATAAGACGCTTGGCGCAGATTGACAACCTTCTAAACCCTTGAATCCTTCCCACAGGTGTACGGGGTATTGTCAACCGGAAGACCGTCTCCGAGGGACATGACAATGTGCAAGCCGCTTTGCTGGACTACACTCTCACCTGCTATCCGTCAGTCAATGTGAGTAAAGGATTCAGTTTTAATATGTAGGCTATCTGAGCTAAAACCCATTGCCACTGGAAATCATTTGCAAGTGCCGTGCAAACAACTCTAAAGCACATTTCTTTCGGCTAATTGCAGGACAAGTTCAGAGGGCTAGTTAACATCTTACCGGAAATCCATGCCATGGCCGCTCGCGGCGAGGATCACCTGTACACCAAGCACTGTGCCGGCAGTGCGCCCACCCAAACGCTGCTCATGGAGATGCTCCACGCCAAGCGCAAGGGGTAGAGGGCGGTAGAACGTGACACGGAATACTTAATCATTTATGAAGTGTAAATAACAAGGCGGGGAGTCCCTCAAGGCAACCGGGATATGGAAGGCGAACGAAGGATACAGAATTCCGTATTATGAATATGGGAATGCATCATCACTACTACCACCAACACCACCAACTATCACACCTATACACACACATGCACACATTTGTTGATTCAATGTTAATTATTATTACGTTTACGGTTAGGTCTAGCTTACGTTTAACTAATTAATTAATTTGTCTTAAATTAATTCGTGTTTTATTTGTAGTCCCTGATAAAGCAATTTTAAAACACTTGAACCTAAACGAGAATATGTAGATGTATGGATTTAAATTTTAATACGGCAAGGAGAAACACACTTTTTAGGCATTACAAAAAAAGAAGCATGAGAAATTTTATTTTTATATACCTATATGAATACGATACTTATGGATACAAATCTATATATATTTTTATGTAAATTGGCGTACTTTTAAGCGTCCTACATATTTTTAATTAGAATTTGGTTATATTATAGTTTTCAAATTAGTATCGTTCCCACTTGTAGATCGATTCTTGTATTTTTTTGCGCCAAGTGTCTTGCATAGTATTGCGTCTAATCTAATGGCAACAGAAAAATTGGAAAATCCATACAAAGAAAATGAAAACAAAGCAAATTTAGGTGTTCATGGTATGAATGTATGTGTATATTATAATTGTAATTTCATCTAAGTGTAAGAAAACAATGCAAACAACTACCTACAACAAGATAATGAAGAGCAAGAAATTATATAAATTAATAAAGATCGTGTTTAAAACTATATAGAAAATATATACTTAAATGTATATTTAAATATAGCAGCAAGTTTCAACTATTTGTAAATTTCAACAAGATGTAATTGTTTCAATGTCAGCAACCAGAAAATGTAAAGCTTATATTTAAAAAACAAAATATATTTTGTGCAAGGAAAGCGATAAATCAGTTAAAGGGTAAAATCCAATTATAAACATTTTAAAAAGCTGTATAACACTTTAAAACTAAAAGTAAAAAATGTTTAGTCATGAATTTGGGCAATGAGACGGAAAAGAAATCGAATTAAAGAAAAACTTGAATATTGTAAAAATCAAAAATCGGAATAAACAAACCAAATAAACTATTTTTAATGAATATCTATTAATGGGTCAACTTTTAATTCAAATATTAAGTTACCTGGCAAAGGATTTAAAAATTCAAGAATTTGTTAATGTAATGACCCCAATTTTCGGAATTTCTAAATTTGCGCTTAATTTGGTTCGGATCTTTTCATTGCCTTAATTCTCGCCTAGGCATTGCGCTTAAACAAAACGTACCTTATAAAATTAAACAAGTTTAAACTCCAAATTCAGTAAACAGACACAAATTACCACACACATTTCAAATTTGAAGGCAGCGTGTATAAAAACAAACGTTTAAATGCGGTGTAAAAAATCAGAGGTAGCAGAAAGATTCACGAAAATAATAGAAATTTCTGGCAGACGCAAGATTATTAGGGGGCAAAAAATACAAAAAACGAAAGCACGATGACATCTACATAGGTTTGCCTAGGTATATATTATATATTTAGGTCACTAGTTGGTATGTCTAACTTCTATATGTATTATAAAATGTAAAAAAGTAAAGAAAATAATGGGTAAATAATGTAAAAGTTGGCAATGAAAGTTGGCTAGATAGTGGATCAGTTATATTTAAAGATTATAAGTAAAGGGCAAAATTGTTGACGTCTAACGTAACGCTGGCGGCATGTTGTTGAAAACACGTTAAAAGAAGGGAAAAGATGGAGGGATCGATATACACATACAAATATATAAATGTTTATTCAGGTATGAATGGCGTTAGGTATGTTTATTGTAATATTGATTACGATGTGAACCTGTTATTGCAAATGAAAAGTGATTTTAACTATTAAGAAAATCTATATATATACTATAAACCCATAAAAAGTAAAAAGGATCTAACAGTTATACATTAAATGATTAATATAAATGCAAGCAACACACACATTTTAAGTTTGAAAAACTGTTAAAAACGCAAAAAAATCATTTAACTAGAAACAAAACTACCTAAAACTACAATGCATATTTGATCAATTGATTTAATATGCTTTATTATTATGTTAACATACAATTTCATCTCAGAGATGTTTCAAACATGCAACCAACCAACAACAACAAAAGCAAAGTGAAATAAAAAGTAATTATAAAAACGAATCCGAGGTGTTCAATGTGTAAGATGTTTGCCCAAATCTTTATTCAATTATCAGTACACAAACTTGTGTTTAATGAGTTAAATCTATTGCGTCAATATTGAAAAACATGGCGGGCTTAAGACATATTGAAGTTTTGCGTAAAATCGTACTCGATGGTTGGTATGACGGTCTGAACGAATTTCAGGAATATGATCAAGTATAAATGCACTCCCAGCTGACCGCCGCCCTCCTCTACCGTCTGTATTATCTTCTTCATAATGTCCGCATGCCGACATGGATGCACCGAGGCCATATTGGGACCTGGAAGATGCGGATGCGACTCCATGGTCACAGTTTTCTTGGCGTGATCCTGCGACACATCCTCGTACATCTGTTCCACGGTCAGTGGCTTGCGCTGCTCATCATACCCCACCACCCAGAGTCGGGGCGTCTGATAGTACTTGTCATAGCTGATGTGCAGGTCGTAGGTGCGTGTGTGGAGCACTGAGTCACCGCTGGCCTCCGCGTCGCTCGATGCGGCTGCCACTGGGCTTGCCTTTGCTTCCGCCTCCGGCTTGCGTGTGGTGGTGGCTACGGCCGGATCGACCAGCTCCAGCATGCCGCTCTCTTCGAAATCGTCCATGTCAATAGCCTCATCGTCGTCCTCGTCATCGGCCTCGGCCCCAGCGCCCGGCGCTGGTTTGTCGCTATCTGGAGTGTGCATTTCTTCCTGAAAGGATGTAAATGATTGCTGAATTACGAATTCAACTTAAGGATCTTGTCCTAGTGATTTCTTTCTCTAAACGTTTATAAAGGATTTCACAGATGTTCGTGAAAAAGTGTCACCCGCATTCACCTTTGTCTCCTCCATTGTCAGTTCGCAGATCTTGTCCTCCAGCTGGGTGGTGCCATCGTCGTTCAGTTGATGGGTCTCCACCCAACCGCCGTCACCGGACTCCTCCTCCACCAGGGTCTCCTCGCCCACGTACTCCATCTGCTTGCAGCGGCGATAGCACGGAACATTGCGCGTTATCAGGAATTGCTTATCTAAGTGGGGGCATAATGATTTTAATGAGTCAATTTGCTAGTTATCAGTGGAAAATCGCAGCACTTGCCCTTTGGTAGGTAGGGTTTCGTCTTCGTCTCATCGCCAGCCGCCCACTGCCAAGTGGGACAGTGGTGCACCAGGTGATCACCGGCGGCCACGAACTCCTCCGGAGTGAGAACACCTGTCTCGCGGAACTTCGATTCCTGCAAAAAAGATTACGATATTTGTATAACATTACCCTTTAACTCCATTTTTAAAAATTAGAGAAAGTTTTATTGAGAATATATTGTGGATAGATAATCAGTAGCAGAAGCCTGTTAAACTTGTTTCTCAAATCTTAACATGAAAATCCAATTATTTTCTTAACCCCCTTACGTTATTGAAGACCGTTTTCGAAAAAGGACACAAAAATGGACTGAGAATTTTGGGACGCCCCTTTTTTTTGGAGACAATCTGGGGGTGGATCCAGTTGTATAGCACTCCGGGTGCCGTCACCAGAATTCAGAGAAAGTGGGAAAATGGGAAATGAGCGAGGAGGCCCATTATCTTTTCGGATTTTCTTCAGCATGCACTCTCGTTTCATACGTATTAAAATACACATTTCATCGCTTTGATAGTCCGTTTTCCGTTTATTTGAGACTTTACCTTCAAAACGGGCGTCAGATATTCGGCCACGTTGAGAGCTGTGCCCTTTACGGTATTGAGAACACTCTGCATTTCGCCGTCCGCTGAGTATTCGCACTAATCTAAACGCCTAAACTTAATAAATACAATTAAGATGGCTCTCTCAATTGACTTGTGCTGCCCAGTTAATTGTTTTTGTCTTGCTAATCGCGACAACAACAGTGCGGTGCGGTCACACTGAGTCTATCGATGTGGGTGGGCCTATCGTTAGGTGGTTGGAAGAATAACGGTATTTTTTGCAATAGATTGCCGGAATTGTTGAATTTATATACAATTAATATTAATACAAATGGATTAATAAATATTGTTAAGCAAAACTGCCTAAAAAATAAATTTGAAATATTCCACTTATACAAAATTAACAAAACTAGAATTTTATAAACACACCTTTAGTATTTAGTATATATTCGATAGCTCCGGTCACACTATGGCGATTCGCGCACATTGTTTTCAACGTTTGTATCGCAACGAAATGGATGAAAAGGTGCTGCCGAAGTTTGTATTGCCGTCTCCAAAGTTCGGCAAGACCAATGGATCCACCGCCTCCAATCACCTCTACCTCACCCCCAGTGGGATGACCCTGCTGCCGCGGTCCAAGCAACCGCCACCCATGTACGGCGCACGAGGATCAACAGTACCAGCGAAATATCTGCACCAGGAACAAGTGAGTCTGCGTTAGTCCGTGATTATTTCCTAAACATAACTTAATTGCATACACAGAGCAGCCCAGTCAGCGTGCCAGCATCCTGTACATCACCTGTTTACCACTCTCCTCCGCGAGCCGAATTTTGTCACACATGTGGCATGGAGCTGGCTAACTTGCAGGACATGAAACGCCACCTGGAGCAGCACGAGTTCTGCCCTGCCGATGACTGCGACTTTGCGGCGCTCCACAACATCCTGGAACGGCACATAGAAGCCAATCACATCACGGGAACCTACGTGAGGGTGAAGAAAGTTTGGACCGAGGAAGAATTGGCCGCTTGGAGGGCAGAGCGAAGGAAAAAGTCAGTTAATTAGTAGCAATTACTTGAGTTCTTTACAATAAGCCGTTCAAATTGTAGATTTCCCACTGCGGCCAATGTTGAGCTGGCTAGATTAGCCAAGGAACAGCGAATTAAACGCGGAGAGCGCCTTGAGGCTTCCAAATCCCGCTTCGGTAACCGGGAAGATCGCCAAAGGACGCGACCTAACGTAGATCGCAAAGAACGTTTTGATAAAAAAAACAAGACAAGGAGAGGTGCCAAAGGCAAAGCCAACGACAAGAGAAAACGTGTAGAAAGTGCAAACAAAACTACTGATAAAGCAAATGAAGCTTCAAAGCAGATAGAAACTGAGGAAGATAGAAAAAATGAGGAAGTAACTCGATGCTTCCTGGAAAATGGTAAATTTGGTGGAACTGGACAAATGCCCGACTACCAGCACTTGAAGGGAAAAGTTCGACAACAGAATAATGCGTTGTCTAGCCTTCTCGGAATGTATGGTTCAGATAGTGACGAAGAAAGTGAAACAGAGAGTGACGAGCAGGATACAGGAGACTGCAGCAAACAAGTCACAGCACACGTAGAGAGCTCCATAAGTATGCCATATGAAACCACAGAAAAGGGTCCCGTCCTTGATGATGCAACTGCTGAGGCTTCAAATACACCTATCTCTGTTGAGAACCCTCAATTCTGTGAGGATCAACCACCAACACCAACGTTGGATATGACAATTTCAGAACAAGTTCCGCCTGAAACAAACATCAGTCAAATAACTCCATCTGCCTCAGAGCCTGCCAAGGAAGACGGCTCCTCTGACGAAGCACCCGATGAGGAGCCCTTCCAGCGAGTAACTGAAGCTATAACAGCGCCAGCTTCACCCAAAACTGAACCAGTGGAACCGAAGCCACAAACTGCACCCAAAAGAGCTGCTCCAAAGCGAATTTACGGCTTGAACTACAAGAGAGCTCGCAAACAAACCCCGAACACCATGTTGTCGAAGCTGTTGGAGACGGATATACGTCATGAACGAAATGTCTTGCTGCAGTGCGTGCGACACGTTTGCGAGAAGAATTTCTTTGGCATTGGTCAAACTAAATCAAATCAAGAAACATTGGATACCACTTGTGATAAGTCCGTTGATTCAACACCGGATGCATTATAACTTTACCTTTTAGCATAGCAAATAAAGTACAAATAGTAGAATGCAAATGTATTTCTTAAAAGGTCTGCCACTTATGGGTGACAAAATGTAATTGAGTGCGATTCAATCTAAAAAAATGAAAACCCCTACCCTTAAAGATAGCCCCACATTAGTTGGTTGACATGGAGGAGTCTCCGCCCATGGGATGATCGCCCCCGCCGGTGCTTCCTCCACCCGGTTGTTGTTGCTGCTGTTGTGCCGCCTGTTGCATTTGTTGTTGTTGCTGCTGCTGCTGTTGTTGCTGCTGTTGCTGGGCGGCGGCATGTTCCTGCTGCCGCTTCAGTTGCTGACGAGCAGCATGCGAGTGCTTGGCCTTGGTTTCCTCCAGTTCGCGCACTCTGGATCTGGCGTGCTGGATGCGATGCCAAGCCATTTGGAGCACCTTGGCGGAGGCATAGCCGGAACCCTCGTGCGGCTGACCCGTGGACACCTGGGTCAAGTAGTTGATCTGCTCGGAAAGCTTCGATTCCACGCTGGACAGACTCTTGAGGAACTGCTGCGACTGGGTTTCGGCATTTTTCTGGGATGACTTTTCCTTGCCCAACTCCTGCAAGGCTTGTCCTGGAAAAATACGTAAATGTTACCCACTTTTTGGTGCCTAGCTAGTCTCATCCCACCTGCACTCTGCATGCACAGGATTATCTCCTTCTCGATCTCGTCCAGAGCGTGTATTTTGTCCAGAGGATTCATTGCTTTTCGTTTTTAACATAAACAAATCAAAATCGGCCGGATAATAGAGTGACCAGAACACATTGAGTAGGCTTTAGGGCGAATGTAAATATACCAAAATGTAATGACTGAAATATACTAAACATTTCAAAATATCAGTCGAAAAAATATTTGTATTATCCCAAAAATGAAGAATTTTAAATAATTTATTAAGTTGTATATCGATTAATATTCTAAAATGGCTTTAAACTCTCTTGCTTGCCAATCCGACCCAATCATATTTGAAGTACTGTTTTGGCAGGGGCAAACAATTCTCGTGCAACTCGATGGCGTCCTTGTCCATGTGCCACACCATAAAGTTCCTGCCACAGGAGATCTGCTTGTGGAGGGCAAGGTGCACCCGGTCCACGAAGTGGGACTGGCACTGGCGGCACTCGAAGACCCGATCCTGGGTATCCATCCGCAGGAACTTTCTAATATTTCGGATCTCAACCAAGCCCTGAAAGTCGCCAACAACGTCCGTTTGAATGATGAAGGTGGGCGTGTTTTCGACATCATCGCCTCGGAGCAAATATGGCACCGCATATAATTCCTTGGAGGTGCTGCAGACCCGAAAAGTGTAAAGGTTTATTTTTAGTGTAGCCGGAATATGTTGGTCCATTTGGTTTAAATAAGTTTCAGAAAGCTTTTTCAAATCAGGCTTATTACTTCCATTTTCGTTGACTTCTGCTGCGTTTTTTACGCGGTATTGCAAAGGGAGTTTGCAGGAATTGCTTTTAGATGAGGCACAAAATCTCTTGACCGTCACCTTCATCCTTCTGATGACACACGCCTCCAGTGGAACCCTTTGATGGAGCAGCACATAGTTGCTGATCTTCTCCAGCAGCATGGAGAATATCATGTCCACCGCCTCACCAATATCCAAATGGTGTTCGATATTTAACGGACTGCTTTCGTAGTACATTCGCTCCTTTTTCACATCCACGTAGAATCCCACTGTGGCCTCCAGTTTTTCGGTACCATAACTTAAAAATCGCAGCAGTTGAGGAACTGCATCCATCCCAGCTTCCAGAAGAAAGTCGTTGGTCCTTGCTGCAGTGCTTCCATCGCACAGGATAAACTCTTCGATGGCCTGGTCCTCGATTCTGTTCAGGATGTCTTTTTCCTCCGGACCAATTTGAATCCAATGGCCTCTATTGTCCTGGACATCATTTCGCCAGTGGTGATGGTATGGTTCGCTGACTGGCACTCGACTTTCACATGTGGTGCAGTCCGCTCGCCTTACACCATTGACGAAAAACTGATGGCGGAAAACTCGGGAGTTTTCCTCGATGTCAAAGATATAGCGCGATTGTGTGCGACGAGTCATGACTAAAAACTTTCTGATGCTGGCTGACTCCATCCAGTGTTTTATATGGAATTAAGATTGCGATGGCTCCTAGGTAGCAAGAATTGGCAGGTTTAGGTATGCATGTATCTGAACCAGCTGCTATTGATCAATTCTTAAACGCTAGCAGGTAGATATCAGTTTGGCAGGTAAAACAGCTTTCTCTCTCTTTGTAAATCGCAAATTTTGAAATAACTACCTTGGTTTTATTACCCTGAAGGATTATTAGCAGTACTTCACGAAGAGCTGCGGCCTTTAAGGTGACAGATTTTAAGTAATGAGGCCTTTTTTGGTGTTAGACCATAATTGGAATCTCCTAATAAGCCCTATGTATTTCCTTTCACGATTTGAAATGGTTCAAGAATCCTATTTTTCTTTTCCCATTATAAGTTCATCCTTACTCTAAGCCAACTAGGTAGAATTGATAAGCAAAGCGACCTAATTTTACATTTCACTGTTTTGTCAAGTGCATAAATATATTTTCTACTTTACACAACTAAAGTATTTGCACGAAAGGGTATATTTTCCATAAAGGACAATTCCCATGAATTTTTTTGGCCATAAATATTATCATTTAGTTTTGATTCCTCGTTCCCATAAAGGAAAAGTCTTTGCCATAAAAATATACTTACAGAAACACCAGCATTTGTGACTTTTTGTTATCTATAAAAGGTAATTTTTTGGTTGCACGACCAACTGCTAACTGATATGAAACCAATTCACGTAGAAAAAATGTAGAAACGGCTCATGTTTTTAAAAGAGTATTGTTGTACTATGTTGGCTTCAGGAGTAAAATTAATATTATATTATTGTATAATGCTGCACCTATATTGGAAATTCCAGTATCTAAATCGAAGAGTAAATAAATAAATTTAAAGATAAAACTGATTTATATTCCGTACCAAACATTTAAATATTACGTACATAACATACGATATACGTATGCCTCTTTAATACTTTGTAGAATGTAATGTTAGCATAAGGGAGAATCGGCGAAATCCTTATTACCTGGACAGGATGCTTCGCAACCGACTTTTTAACATCCCCACTGAGCCTGAAACTTCCCCTGCAACCCGAACAGGTTGTACGACCTGTTGGTCTAAATCGACCTCGGTTCGAGTCGAGTCCTGGAAAATGTGTTCCCAGTCCGCGTGGCCGAGTAAGTTCACTTGGGCTCCCGTTGGTGGTGGCCCGTTTGACTGCTGGCTGATGGTTGATGGCTGTTGCTTTATGGCTTCTTTAGTAGTTGAAGCATATTTGAGGCGTTCGTTCGTCCTTCACACGCACACAGGCGTACAGGCACGGCCACACACATATACTATACATATTTCTACAATATGTATATTATGCCCACATATTTCGTACTTTTGTCGCTGGGAAACCTCACGTGTCCCTTCGCCATCGCAGCTCATGTGGGTGAACTACCGAAATGAAAATAGAGTAAAAAAATGTGCATGAAAATAGAAACAAACAGAAACGCCGACAGTAAAAGTAAGGGAAAACTGCTGCCTGGCATCTTTTTACGTATTTCGGTTGTTGATTTTCCTATTTCACTCCTTGCCGCTGTCGTTGAGTTTTCCTCTTGGCCGTGGAATTATGAGCGCTCGTCCTTCCCCATTTTCTGTTACTTTTCTGCTTCCCATTCTGTATCGTTATTTTTGTTCTTCGGCGTCCTGGCATCCTGACGCCTGTTTTTCCAGCTATTTTGTTTGCTTTTATTTTCGCTCCTTTTGTTTTGGTCTGATTAAAAGTAAAGTTTTTCGCGGGTTTTCTCTGGACTGCACGGGTGTTCTATTTAAAAAGGGCATTTTGAATTCCACATTTATGTCTTTTTTTTAAAGTGGATTACAAGATAAACTTTAGGCGCCTACAGAAGCCAAGCCTTATCGCATTAAAAATATCGCTTTGAATCAGTTTTAATCAAGGCGGTTTTCCTAATTTGATCTTATCCAGCGAAAACCCAAATTGCTTATTGTTACATGTTAAAAATGTTTCCTCATTGTATTTATCCAATGTTTTAGTTTGGAATTTAAATTTTCCCTGAATGCTTTCGTTTCAAATGCTTTAAAATTTGAATATGACTGGCCTTCTAACCCATGTGACATCAATCAATGTGTTTAATTATGTATCAACTTTTTATTAGTTCTATTTGAACTCAAACAGTTTTCGTTTGTGCTGACCCGTTTAAATGTACTCTTCATGTATCAACCATCAATTACTGAATAATTGATGGATATTAATAGCTTTTGGATGAAAACTATACGAGTGCAACGACGAAAATGTTTCAATTTATTTTTCCACTTTCCCACAAACGGATACGCAAAAGGCTGAGTAAACAGAAGTTAAAGGCCATAGGTCAAGTTGGTAGCTCTTCAGCTTATTCGCTCTTATGTTTGAGTTCACGTTGTCGTGCAAGGACTTTTCCTTTTTGGGCTCAGCCTCTGCCACTCCCCCTCCTTGCCTTTTTCCTTAACCTTGCTCTTACCTGGTAATTAACACTTTGTCGAGCTCATAAATCTTTAAACATTGATTTTTAATGGTGGCATTTTAACGCTTCGTCGAGCAGGGGAATCAGCATGTCCTGGCCACCCAGGACACGTGCAAGCCGTATTCAGGGAAATCGCAAGGGGGCTGTATACCCGTGGGAAAAATTAATAAATTATTGGGGCCGGATGGGCAGAGTACACGTGACTGTTTGTTTTTCCTTCGGTTCCTTTCATTGCCGAAGGTTTTGAAGTGTGTTCAATGGGTTTCCATGGCACGCAAATCATTTATTTTAAATAAATATACACAATTTATGCAATAAAATCGAACATTATTATTTATAGTCGATTGAAAAATGCAGTTGAATGGCCATGATAGTTGACGATAATTGCTTACAAGGCACATGAAGTTGAAGGACTTAACAGGATGCTGGTGCCAATCATTTTAGTGCATTCGGGCGAAAAAAGGAAAATGTGCTGAGACTGAGTGTATCCGATTGTTTTAGTACCACTCAATAGGACATATTGCATAACTAAACGCTTTTACTATTATTGCTTTGTATGGGACACAAGTGGAATAGTAGTTTATAGTTATGCCGCATACAGCATGCCCAGCTCTCATTTTGTACGGGGTATGAAAACAGCTTAAAACGATAAACGCACTTGAACTTGTGTTTGCATTTCGAGTTCTTAGCTATTTCTCTTTGAAGCTTTTTGCATTAAACGTGCATTTAGTGCAGTTTCGACACAAGCAAACCGGAAAAAAGGATACCCGACCAGCAAAGTCCGCTCCGAATTTGTATATAAAGACACAAGCGCACAAATAAATGTTGTTCTTGCCATTGTGTGTGTGAGTGCATGTGTGTGTGTGTCAACGAATTATGTCCCCCAGATGTCAGTGCAACACAAGCGGGAAACATGACAATTCCGCCTGCGACCGCCCACCAGAAAGTCCAACAGCAGTAGTTCTATCCATAAGTATTCATGCATTTATGCGGGGTGCCACTCCCCCACCACCGCCCACTGCCCCTTGCCGGCCACGCCCCCACTTCCGCCCACGTCCCACTTCTTAGGAGAAAGCTCATGTGAGTCTGTTTCTTTTCTCGTTCAAATCTGTACAACTGACAGGGATGGCAATTTGTGTTTTTTGTTCCATTTGAGCTGGTTTTCCTTAATAGTTTCGTTGAAAATATAATGCAGCTGTATCGTGTATGCATTTATACACACATTAATAGGGCTTCAATGAATTTGGGCTTAAACGCAATTAAAAATATCTGAAATGAAGTATTTAGTATATAAGTATGAATTAATGAAAGCTGTGTAGAAAACATTAAGCAGAAGTGGTGATAAAACATAACATTAATTTCAAAGTTTAGGGGTTTGCCAACACTGGCTGGATTTTCCGTAAGAAAGGGGCGCTGCTGGTGTCGTGGGTGTGGTCGATTGTATTCCATTTGTCAACAGCAGCGCGGGGAGTGGGTGGCTGAGCAGGACGTGGACCAGGACGTGGAACTGGAACTGGACGTGGGGAGGTGAGGGCAGGGGACTGGGAATCACTGGACGTGGCAGCCAAAAGGCCAGAGGAGAAAAGACGCTTCTGTGCGGATTCTGCTCCTGATTATGGCACATCAGCAGCTTTATTATTATGCAAATACATACAAAATATGAATTATGTTAATGCCAAGTGTACACACCATACACACGCAGGACACACAGCTTTGTCCAGAGAATGCAGCTCCTCCGCTTAACGGCCTGCAAAGCCGTCAACTTTGCTCCGCAAAGAGTCCTCTTCTCGCCCGGAAACTCCGCTCAAAAATCCTTGGCTCGTGTGAAAGTTTTGTTTTTTCCGTCTGGGTAAGAGCTCTGGAAAGCATGCGGCTTGGCTAGATGAGGCTTTCCTTGGATTTTGCCGAAGAACAATCTCAGATCGAGTGGCGTGTCGACGGCGAGGAGTTTTCCAACTTCAGTGCGGTTGCAAGTGCCACAAGTCTTAAGTCTCTTGAAAGTATCTGCATCGAATGAATCTCACCATAAATTGTCAAAATATGTTTATTTTATTCATTATAATACTTCTAGATATAGATGCGTTAATTTATTCGTTATATACGTGCGATAAAATGCAACTTAAATGCCTTAATTGCGGGCTTTTGTTTTTATTTAACTACTGTGTTCCACATGCAAAATTGCAAGCTTTCCTTTTCAAAGCAAATACATGTGACAATGGCGAAAGGAAATGCATTCAATTAAATATTACCTGCTCAGCATTCTTATTGTAGAATGAAATTCAATGCACTTAAAGTTCAATTCATCCTATTCACCTATTTGAAGAGGGAATTATTTGCTATTATAATTGCTTATCTGTGCATTAAGATTTGCAATTCCATTACATTAATTACATAATTGAAATGGCAAGCATAATATTTTCACCCTTATGGCATTCCATTATTTTGCACCATAATCCTACCTCGATTGCACAGCAGCTCTTCAATCAAAGAGATTGAGAAACATTGCGGCTGTTCGGGCTTGAACATTGCGCCTGTTGTCATGTGAGCCAAGTGAAATTGCTTCCCATGGCTCGTATCCTTTCAAACACTTGGCAAACG